ACGGCATTGCATTTTGGATGAGCCTGTTGCATATTATATATAGCAGCTCTTTTCTTCAAGATTCCAGTTTGGATAACTTGTCTTCATTTTATTTTTCTCTATCAAGGTTTTTGTTTCCCCATATTTCCCAGAAAACCTCTACAATCTTAGAGAGTAGAACTTATTATGTGATATTGATTTGGGCTTTAAAGGGGCCCATTTATGCTGATTTTTCTGTTCATATTTCTATTTTTTACCTTGATGTTCGTCTTTATTTTCCTCATACTGCCTGTGCTGCAGCTCCTCTTTTCACCCTCTGTCTGAAACCAGAGCCCAGTCTGCTCTGATTGGTTAGCTGGCCGGCTCTGTTGTGATTGGTCAACCGCTTAGATGTACCGCCCCGTAGCCTATCACGTACAATGTGTTGGAGCACTAGCCAATAGAAGCGCGAGTGTTACGTATACAGTGATGTCACTTTGTTACAGAAGTAAACAAAGAAGTCCAATGGAGGCGTTTCAGAAACTCCCTCTGGAGTTTACGTCAGGGATCACCAACTACATTTGACCAAGGGCCAAAATGATTCCTAGAGACACTTTCGGGGGCCAGCGATTATTTGTTATAGCCCTGAATTTTGAAGTTGTTGACCCGGGGGGTGCTAGTGGAGCACGCTCATGTAGGCTACTGTCAAGTCGCCGGAGCCTCGTAGAGGCGGCTACTGCGGAGCGCATACAGCAGACTCTTCACGCTAACGAAGGATCACTTCTTCTTTAGGGCAAGGAAGGCTACGCAGTACGCAGGCTACTGTCCCGCAGCTGCTGCCTCTCTGTTGGACTCCGGTACTGCACATTACTCACGAGACGTTGTAAAAATAAATTGAGTGGGGGGCGAACACACTAACCCAGTGGTTCTCAAACTTTTTCTGTCAGGCCCCCCCTTTGGAGAAAAAAAAAAGTCGGGCCCCCCCAACACAAATAGTCAGGCTCAGTGGCGGCGCCAGAGATTTCTTTTGGGACTGTTACAATGAAGGCTCGATATCAGCTCACGGCATATAGGTGTAAGCAGGGGTAAAATGCTATTTTTATGGGGTGTGGACCTCAAGCTCCCCCGGGAAGATTTCTAAATATTGAAGTTAAAAGCATCAATCTGGTGCACTTTGAGAGCAAAATATCAATCAAACAGACTCTTACAACTGCGTCATTTCCAAATCCTGATAAACACTGAGCATTGCAGATGAATTCACTCCAGACTTTTATTGATTAAACTAATTTGATTGTAGCACAGAGAAAGCTCTTGCTGGTCTCCACCCTTTTTTTAGTTTACTCTGGATACGGAGCCACTTCCTGTGTTGCTCCGGACATCGGCACTGATCGGCACTCAACGCGGGATTTTTCCCAAAAGTGACAGCCTTCACTTCCCTCACATTTCTCTCTTTGCGAGCGTTTCAGGGAACCACAGCAGCAGAAATATTACAGAGAAAGAGAGAGGGTTATGAAGATGAAATCATCAAGTTTCTCTGTAAAGATGAAACCCACTGCAGGCGGGCCTCTCAGGAGGAGGAATTTATGGGGGAATGCCGCAAATTAATTGTAAGCTATGGAGTCAGTATTTGTTTATGCCTGGAGCTTTTGAGGGAAAAAACATGTGAGACCATTTATTTTCTATTTTAGGAAAGAGAAACTTTTGTATATAGAGAATTAGGATGAGTAACATGTGATCAAATCGTAAGACTGATGCTCTTTTTTCGAGCTAAAAAGACTGTAGACCAGATACAAGTCAACATGTTGTGGCATTAGGCTGCCCTTAAATGGATATTCTGGTCACATGGTTAAGGTTTAGACAAAGATTTGAACAATTAGTTTTTTAACAAGGCAATAAACTACCCTGACTGAACCACACCCAACCCGTGGCACAAAGGCCCCCAGACCAAGGATTTTTTGTCCTGGTTGCCTTAATCGTGGCCCAAAAATTGCACTTTTTAGGTTCTCAGTGTAGTAAAAAGTAGTAGGCTAGTTCCTCTGATTTGCGGTGGGAAAAGTATCATTAATCTGGAAATACTCAAATAAAGTACAGGTAAATCACAATAGACGTGAGTGAAACTCAACCATTGGTAGTACAGTGACACAGGTCAGATCAGATTTTTTTAAATGAGGGTGGAGGGCAGGGCCTACACATCACTTCCTTTTCCAAAACTTTCTTCCATTGTCCGCCTGCAGAGCGCTGCACAGTTCGTCTCAGCACAACTCCCTTCCTGCACTCTGGACCACACTCTGGCTCCGGCTCACATCCGTCCCCACAGAACATCCCTGCTGCCGGGATCTTCCCTGGAAAAGCGGGATGAGCTCACATGGGCCGGGACCAGGGGAAATGTTTGATCTGTTTTATTTTTTGAGGTGTCTACATGCCTGCGTCATCATTTAGCAAAGTAGGGTGGAGGTATGAGGTCAGAATCAATGAGTTGACGTGCATTTATGGAAGGCTTCTTGAATAGGTTTACCAAAACTGTGGATGAGAAATGAAGCAAATCATAACATTTGAAATACTCAAGTGTAAATGTATAATATTAAACAAAGTAATACAATTTAAAGTGATCATTTGCATTAGGGACTGTGGCAATTTCAATTCTTACGACAAGATTATCATGGCCAAAGGAATTCAAGATAACAATATTATCACACTATCTATACAAATAAATCAAACTCAAAAAGAGAGTGGATGGTGATAATCATATGTTGGTAAAAATGTAAAAAAAGCATATCAAAATGAATGAAAAATTAAAAGTCAACCAGATAAACTATAGCATAACAACAACATATCCACAAAGCAACATCTGCCATTAATAGAATGACGTAAAAATCACTTTTGGGGAGCAGTGCATGGACAGAGTTTGTGTGTGAGACCATCTCATATAATTAACATGAGATCAATATTTATTTTATTAAATATCAAAGTTTCATTTTATACTGTTGCAATATTATTAAGATAGATTAGAACAGTGGTTCTCAAACTTTTTCTGTCAGGCCCCCCCTTTGGAAAAAAAAAAAAGTCGGGCCCCCCCAACACAAATAGTCAGGCTCAGTGGCGGCGCCAGAGATTTATTTTGGGGGTGCTGTGGGGTAGCTTGACGTTTCATAGAGGGTGCTCAAACATTTAGGGTTTCCCATTAATGTACTGGGCGCTACAGTGGAATTTTCTACTGCAACACTCCCCACGCAAATACACAGTGTGACTGTTACAATGAAGGATCGATAATCAGCTCACAGCATATAGGTGTAAGCAGGGGTTAAGTGTTATTTTTACAGGTGGTGTGGTGTGGTGTGGTGTGGTGTGGTGTGTAGGGGGGTCCGGGGGCAAGCTCCCCCGGGAAGATTTTTAAATATTGAAGTTAAAAGCATCAATCTGGTGCACTTTGAGAGCAAAATGAAGAGATCTATGGATACATCTCCGCATATGAAACAGAACTGTAAACAGATTTACTTTTTCTTTATGGATATTTTTCAAATCACCCTTTTAAACGTTATTCTTTTTTTACTGTCATATAGTATTTCATACCTGTTTTTCATTTATTCTCTTATTTTTGTATAACTATAATGATCATATAAACGTGTGCCTCGGAAATAATTGTTTACATTAATGGTGACCAAAACATTTGAGACCCACTGAGATAACTTAGACTAAAGTTAACTATCTAAACACTGAGAGAGTCCTTTAGTTCACTGAGCCTCTCAGTCTGACAGGAGAGGACTCTCCTCCATTTTGTTGTTGAAAAAACTCCTTATATCCGTTAGCGTAGCTCCCTAGCACCAGAAGCTAACAACAACGATCTCCAGTACCGGTGCTCTCTCTCTCTCGCTCGCGCACACAAAATGGCTCGTTACACACGCACACACACACACACACACACACACACACACACACACACACACACACACACACACACACACACACACACACACACACACACACACACACACACACACACACACACACACACACACACACACACACACAGTCGAGCTGTAATGAAACACAGAGACCCAGACGTAATAGTGCTGTACTGCAAATTATGATTTTAAAAAAAAAATATTTTTAAAATTTGTTATAAACATTTTTCCTCCTGGTCTCTCGCGCCCCCCCCTGACATGCCTCTGCGCCCCCCACTTTGAGAACCACTGGATTAGAATGTATATTCATGGACTGAGTAGATGTATGAGGTGAATGAGTTAAATGCATCCCAAAGCGCCCTGACATGTTCCCTTATCCGTTTACCTTCACCTCATTGATTAAGGAGTTTAACCCCTCGCTGAACTGAAGGAGCCTGTCCTCTGACCTTAAACAGTCACCAAACACAAGAATCAGTGTTTTATAGTGTCTGAATAACAAACAGATCAACCCCAATAGTCTAACTAACAAGCCTCTTGACTAATAGATCAACTCCATTAGTCTAACTAACATCTATAGCCTCTTGACTACTGATTACGCTATTCTTTAAAATATTTACCTCACAATTCAGTTGCTGTTTATCATGCATGTACTGTATGTCATTTAAAGAGGCAAAGTATTGTATGCAAAGATTTAGAGCGATCCCAGCATACAAAAATCCTCCAAAAATGCAATAAAAAACTCAAATCCGTAGCCTATTATCTATTTATTTCAGATTATAACTTTTAGTATCTATTAAAAAAAAAATTATGTGATACTTTTTGTATAAAATATGGAATGCATGAATGTTTGTGCTCATAATTTGATATTGCTTCTCTTAAATACTTTCCCCACAACTATAGCCTAAGTGTTTTGTAATTTGTGTCTTTTTATAGCATTTTTGAGGGGATTTTATATTGTCCAATTATACATTCAAATTCATAGGCTACAGTATTTTTAGATGTCATATATTTTAATTGAACTGTTTTCATAGTGTGTGTGTGTGTGTGTGTGTGTGTGTGTGTGTGTGTGTGTGTTATATTAGCAGGGGGCGGGGCTTAGTGACGCCTCCCTGCTCTGTGTGTGCAGACGGTGCAGACTGGAGGATGGAGCACAGAGGGAGAAACGCCGCCGCTGCTGCTGTAGCCTCACATCGCGGTCAGACCCTCTGAAAACCCGCTCTACAATTAACCAGCTCCCTTTAATTTACACCCAGACTGCGGTTTTTATTTTTCTGCCTCTTTTCACATTCATTTCACCGCTGACATCTTGGCACCAGACCCCTTCATCTGTCTGTCAACACGCCGGCTTCGACTGTCTGTCAGCGGGGGGAAAGCAGAGAAAAATCCCGCTGTAAAAAAAAAATCAAAATACATTTTTTTCCAAAAGGTTTTCACCCGGACACACCTTCCTGACTGACTGCTCTGTCACTGCTGCCATCAACATGGATGAAGACAATCACGGTAAGGCTGTTTTTTGTTTTTCTGTCTCTTTATTGGGTCTATGGTTTCTTCCTGAGCCTGTATACGGTTCTGTAGCTGCATGAGACTCTCTCTCACTGAGAAATGCTCCAATACGGTTCTGTAGCTGCAGGAGACTCTCTCTCACTGAGAAATGCTCCAATAATGTCATGATTTGTTGTTTTTCTGGGCTGGTTTGCAGAAAAACATCCTGGTTGTTAATTCTCCACACACACCCTCCTGACTCACACACACACATCCATCCATGCCGTCCATCCATCCGTATCGAAATGCTGGAGTCATGGCAATAAAAAACCCAAAACACAGCATTTTTTTATCATGCATGCACCTTCTCCATCTGTTTGATGTCTTGCTGTAAGGCTTTGAAGTTGCTCTCACTATCTTGTTGCTCCGTTTGAAGCCTCTAAACTGGTGGGAAATGATAAGAGGGACTGGCAGCCTTCCATATGGAGGAGAGACCTTGCAGGAGCTACATCCTTTGATAAAAAACATACAAAATAGGTCCCTATTATGATATTTGATTCAGATAAAGCGTGTTAAGGTTACTTCAAAAGCTGCAGATTGTGCCAAATATATGTGTGCAATGATATGGTATATTATAAATGAAGCAAACATACATTTAAATGCCATTTTCAGTACAGAAAACAATGCATATTAACAGTTATTTTGACAAAAACATAAAAGAGGAAGTGGCTAGGACAATAAAGGAATACAAATATTGACTTGAAGCTAAAGGTTTATAAAGTCACATTGTGCTAAAATGATCCAAAGTAAATATTAAATGAAGCATAGAAAGTAAGAATCCAGCAGGTATATAATAAAGTATTTGGTGCCAGAGACCTGACTGTGTGATATCGTGATAAAGTGAATGAATTGAAGCCGTGCAGCTGCATGGTGCTTCAGGATTAGCGCTCGCAGCTCGGAGGCCCATATCAGTTATTATGTGTGTTCTGAAACACAGCGCAGGATGCTTATGAGCAGATAATCCAAACCGCCTTGTGCGCTGAAGGCCATGAAGGCAGTGTGTAAACAAACAGCTGATAACAGTTTGTCAGTTCAACTGTGAGAGATTAGCATGAGCCAGGAGAGACCCTCATCTGGACTTCCACTTTCCCCCCCTCACAGTATTCTCCTGTCTGAACTGTCTCAATGAACCGAATCATATTATGGTAGTGACTCAAGTTTGAGTTGAAGTTGAAATGCCTGATTTCATTGATGTTAAAGGGGCTCATTTTCAGGTTCATATTTGTATTTGTTGCCTCTACTGTGACATGTCTCCATGTTTTAATGCTCAAAAAGCGCTTTATTTTTCTCATACTGCCAAGAGGATGAGTCCAAGCTATATATTGGTGACCTCCTGATGTTCCTTTAGTGCCAACTTTGGTCACATTAGATCCAAAGACACATCAAAATTAAATGGGCAACCTGTCATAAAACTATTTGAGCATATTGAAGATCCAGGGAGAAGAGCCCTTCAAATGTTAGCTTTATTCTGGTATAAACTTTACACAAGCAATATGTAATTCATCTTGTGTGCAGATTTAAGTATGTCACCATCTCCAAATGTTGTTTGAGAATCTTGTTGAAAGTAATAATACTACTAAAATCACAGTGTAGAAATTGACATGTGTTCTCTTTGGGATTCAAACCATATCATAAACCATACACTTCCATTTTATAGGTTGATCTAATCACTTGTTCCACACGCCGTATAGCAGACCAGTGAAGACATACTGAATCATGTGACAGGACGTCAGGGAGCACAGAGCAGATCAAACGGGAAACATACGACACATCCCAGAGAGAGATTGTGTGCAGAGTTGTTGAAATAACTTACCATAAATGTTAAAGTAATTAAGAGCTCTCGTTCGCTCACTCACCCTCGCTGCGTCTCACTCTATTGCATGCATCACTTAACATTGTTCACATGCACACACCTTGTTCGGCTGGTATCACAGCACGGGCACTTAGAGCTAAATCGGTCTCACCTAGTCACTTACAGCTGCTGAAGTCAAAGTGACACCTTCATCAAGAGCTGTGCCAATTAAAACAGTGACTAATTTAACAGCAGAAGAAGATACAACTCATAAACCGACATATGATAATAGTTTTGAATCAGAACATGCAGAAATTGGACTAACATGTGTCAGATTTCGTACACAGCAATGGGTCAAATTCTTATAAAATCAACATTGAAATAAAATACAGATCAGGACATTTCAACAAAGAACATATGATGTCAACGTCATGTATTGGGGCTTTTCCGCTTAGTGGCTTTGAATACATCCATAGACAATCTGTGCTTTGTTGCTCTGGTGCTTTTTGCATGCCAACAATGGTTCACATTACCATCATGTGTGTGCATTAGGGACTATGGTATGTTCTCACGCTTGCATGTACAATGTGCCCAAGATATATTCAAAGTTGGGGCTATGATTTGTTCTGCACCAGTGGACTAAAGAGGGAACAGATGCCATGATACTCTTTAGGATTAATAAATACTATACAGCTAAGGGCGCTTTCACAAGCCAACATTAGTGCCTTATAATTGCAGGTCTGGTCCTTTTCCAAGTGAGCGCTTACGGTTTGATGATAGTGAAGACCTAAAACGACCCAATGCTGAAAGTTAACCACAAAGCAGGATTATTGGTATTTGTAAATGGTCTGTAAAGGGGCTAAAATCCCAAAGTTCCCTCCAGCATAAAGCATGTAATAATTTCACAGAGGCACCAGATACAAATATGAAATTAAAAAAGGGCATAATATGTCTTCTTTAACATGAATGGGAGAGTACTGACTTGGCCTTCTGCATACATCATACAGAACAAATCCACAGAATGGCAATGTTTATAAACTATTCCATGAAAAACTGGAGGAGAAAGGAATCTTTTTCATGTAGCGCTGGTTGATTTTTATGTTTACATTATCCACCGCCACGTTTCTGACGAATAACATAGATTTCTTTGGTTTGGTCCGCATTAAATTCTGCTCAAACCAGACTAAATAGAACGAACCAAGACTATTAATTTCACTCTGATTCGGACTAGCCAAACTGACAATGGCTTGTGAAAGTGCCCTGAGGCTCCCACAAGCCACCTCTCATGAGTCGGAAACAGTTAGCGGTGAGTAATCACAGTTACTGATTACACAGGGCCCCAAACTGAGGAAAGGATGGTGACGTTTCTGAACTGAGAGACCTTTTGTCAACCAATGGAAAACCTTCATTTGAGTATCATTGGTGGACTAACGGTGGAGTTGGACCAACCTGCACACTTTTCTGCATACAACAATACTGTGCATTATTTACAGTTATAGCATGGGATTCATTACTACATGTTTACTGTGCTTGCTAAGCAAAGAAGGCGCTTCTCTGCTCCGTTTACATGCCACAGAGCAGACAAGGGCCTGGCCTCAAAATGCTCAAAAATCAGCAACAGGCTTAAGTGTTTTTATTACTCACGCGTCTATTTTTAGCATTTTTGTATAGCTGGATGGAGAAGTGGAAAGAACACAGAAGCAGAAATTGGCTGGAAAGCTGTTCACTGAGTTGCTGGATGAAGGCCGTGAGTTTGAACACTTGGCATCCTTGTATTTTCTCTTCTTTATAGGAGCTTTGCAACGCTGTCGTCAGGGGATTAATATGGACTGGGCTCTTTGGGGATTTTTGGGTATTAAAACTCTTAAATTAATAGAATTCACCTGAATAAAGATGTCTGTGTCGACGAGGCTCTTAAACAAGCCGTGCAGACGCCCGAAAATATGCTGAAATGTTTGTTAATGGGGTTTCCTTCACCATATTTCCTGCGTGTGCCGTGATAACCCCGCTCTGTCAATCAACACTCTTCTGTCTATCTGAGCGTGGGAAAAGTTGAATGGGAAAGGCCTTTTCCTTCGATTCTTCTATTCTCTTTGGACTCAATGTGCGCTGAAATAACAAGTCGTATCTGACTGCAGCACTTACTGTTTTGTCTGTAGGCGCCTTTTTAATGGTGCACGCCTGGAAGTGTCTGTGTGCAGTGTCATGCCTTGGCTTTCTGATTGGAAATATCTCCCTAAGAAAGAAAAGAAACCTCTTTGTTTTCTGCTTTTTTTGTAAACATCTCCTTAAACTTACTAGACATTTGACTTAATGCAATTATTTCACATCACGATCACCCCAGCAGGCAGGAAACCCAAGCATGGGTGGCTTTTTTTTGTGAAAACCCGAATCAACACACTGTATGTGCTATTTCTTGGCGCCTAGTGCTCTAGTTCTGAGGGGGATTAGCTGGTAAGAAGGGGAAGTTGGTGTGATTAGGGTACAGCCTTTGTTGTGGCTTTAGGGTGAGTGTGTGGGAGGACATCAGACAGTCTTAAGGGGCGAGCTGCGGCTGCTCTCCAGATATACCTCACCCAGGGAGGCTGGCTTATTGTAAGTGGTCGGAGCAGAATGGCTAGATAGAAGCAGACAGCTGTGTCTTTCTGCATCTGGATGTCTTATGATCTACCTAACCTGCTGCTTGTGCAATAAGCTAGGTTAAATACATTAGAGGTTAAGTTATTAGAGCATTTGTGGATAGATCAAATCAACCTGCAGCTGTATTTTCACAAAATGACAAAGTACTAGTTCCTGCTCAGTCTCAAGTGTGAACATGTTTTGGTCTTACAAGTCAGCACGCTAAATATGAAGCTAAAGCCAAGTAGCCAATAGCTTAGCATAATAGCTGGAGACAGGCGAAACAGCTAGCATGGCTCTGTCCAAAGAAACAAAAGCACAACAAAAACAACAAAAAGTTTGTTTCATTAAAATGGGGATGTTATGTCACAGATTCTTTATAGGTTTGTTACCTTTTATACGAAAAGTGTCCCTGTTTCCAGTCTTTGTGCTAAGCTAAGTTTCCTTGAGGCTGGCCGTAGCTTAATTACCGTAACGACATGATAGTGGTATGGATCTTTTTATCTACATTTTGGCAAAAAAACGTATTTCCCAAAGTGTCGAATAA